CCCCCCCCCGCCACACACACAATTTGTTTTAGAAAGAATCGTGACCAAGTAGTGCAAGGTTATTGGAGGGGTGTCATTTTCGTGGCTCCAAATAAACTTTAGATTCTTAAGAACTTTGACCAGCAATGCTTTTATGGAGAATATACGCAACGTTCACGTGCACATTCAGTTAGAAAGTAAATGTGGATTCTTTGGTGACTCAGAAGATATGCTCATTGAGTAATGCTGCATAATTTTAGCATATACATGTAGCATGATACCATGTAACGTCTTGGATCGAGCTTCCTTAGGTTGAGCTGGGTTTAAGGTGATGTATCATCCCCATGCTGGGGAGCAAGAGTAGCCGTCCAGTGGACATCTCAGTCAGAGTGCCAGTTCTGTCTGGCTCTTCCCAGGCTGTTGTATTCGCTGGAGAGGCAAGGTGGGGAGAGCTGTTCTGGTGGCTGATGCAAGTCCGTGGCCCCACAGCTGGAGTGCCAGGATGAGAGTACATCCTGGGGGTGGCACTGAGCAAGCGTGGAGCCAGATGGCTCTCCAGAATCAAGAAGCAGGGCTGAGGGCCACTGGAGTGGGCCTGGGGAGGGCAGGGAGGAGATGTCAGCTTGCGCTTGATAACAGACTCACAGTACTGTCTTCCCGTGGCCCTTGACTTGTCCCTCAGGATAAGTGTCCTAAGCGGGGAAGAACACGCAGGGTGCTCTGAGGGCCGTGGAATCTCAGGAGTCAGTCTTGATGAGGCCTGGCAAGGGCCCCACAGAGGCTGGAGTGGGAGGCTGGGGGACCCTCTAGTAGTGGTCATGCCTCCTCAGCCCAGCTGTGCTCCCTGATCCTATTTCTCTCCTCCACTTCGCTTCCCATCGTGGTACTTCCTCACCCTCCCAGACTTTTCTCTAATTTTGGCTTGTTCACGACCCCTCAGAGCCCCTGCTGTATCTCATGACCTCTTGCTATACTTTCTTCCACATTTACATGTTCTTGATAATTTTCTCAATACACAATCCCAAGATTAGGACTCGGGAGCATTCTGTGCTCAGCCCCCTCCTGGGCCTGGGGTTGAGCTCTGGGTTGGTGGCCCTATGCTCAGGTAGTCTCCCCTTTGTATAAAGAGCGCTGGCGGGGTAGTGAGGGTTTGTGGACCAATTGCCAGGTGGTGAGGGAGGAGTGGCTCTCACATTCTGCCAGGCTCAACGAGGATGATCCCAGGTACCAGGTTAAAGAGTGCTGAGTGGGGGAAGCAGGGCTGGCAGGGAAGGTGCCTCATGTTTCTTTTGCATTTGCGTGTACCTTACGGTGCTTGGTTTCTTGACTTACGGATGAACTAATTAAGTTTAGATGCTTAGAAGATAAATGACCACTGAATATACAGAAGGTTGATGGTGCTGTTCCAGAGTCTCAAATATTTCTTGGCTACACTTTTACCTTCATCTGAGAAAAGAAGAGTGCTGCTTGGTTTGTTCTTACCTTGGCTCGTAGGGACCTAATACGTGCTATTCACTGAGCAATGGGCAGCGGCAGACCCATCGCCATTCACAAGGAGGTGGTGTTTGCAGTCCCCTGGCTTTTCCTGAAAACTGACTGGAGGTGTGTTGTTGCAGGCTGGGGGCTCTTCAGTGGCATCCGCTCCAGTGTCCGCCTTCTCTCGCACTTCTGTCACGCCCTCCAATCAGGACATCTGCAGGTAATGCTCTGCTTCACATGCTACGGTGGTTCATGTGCATCTCAGGAATGAGCGTTCATGTCTGCAGGTTCTTGACTCTCCATATGCCTCTGCTCTTAACAATCAACCTGGTTTTATGTGCTGTTTGCTCACCAGGTACCACGCAAGTCTCATTTCTTCACTTTGATGCCTATTTTCTTTTAAAATTGTTTTTACTTTCTGTGCTTTTATTCCACTGTTCTCTGCATGCAGTTCCAGTGCAGTGTTTTCTGAGTGTTGTCACCACAGTCCCGTGCAGTCTGCTGTTGTCTTGAAAGCTCCTCCCTGCCAGAGTTCTCTGACACAAGGGCTCACTGTGACAGTTGTCTGTCAAGACACAGTGCAGGCATCAAAGAGAAATTCCCATGGCTCAGAGTGGGTCCAGGCCTTGAAGCCTGCTAAGAATACCAAAGCCAGAAGAACACTGAAGTTCTCAAAATCCCTGAATGATGTGGGTGAGAAGACCCCGGATGCTTTGGAAAGTTTTGACTATGCGGAGAGGACTTGCTCTGAAGGGAAACTGATACTCCCTCAAGACCCGTGTCTCAGTATTAACAGGATCCACCAGAAAGAAAAAAGAACACTGAATCGCAAACCTCTTGGCAGTTCCAAACATTCTTGTGTTTCATCCCTTTCCGCCAATCGTTCAGCGGCCTCAGAGGTGGGAGCCGGCAAGGGGGGCACGCACGTCCTGCTTCCGGACGAGAAGGCAGATGGCGAGGCCGTGTCTGGAAGCCGGCGGCTGCTCCGGTACCTGTTCTCGCTGTCACACAGCTTGAGCACCAGCAGCCTGCACTGGTTCCACGAGCTGGAGAGCTGCACTGCCGGCCCGCACCCCGCCAAGTCCTCCAGCGGGCTGGCCGGGAGCGCGGGCTTCTTCTCCGACGAAACGGGAGATGATGACGTCTTTGAGGACAGCACATCCACAAAACCGAAGAGCAGGGTCCTGCGGGCGCCCCTCTGCTCGGTGGAAAAGGACAGTGACCTGGATGGTCCTTCCCCTCTCTCTGAAAAGGGCCCCCCCATCTCTCCCGTGTCCACATCAGGGGATGTCTGCAGGTTGGTTTGCCAAGAACCACCATTCTGGCCCTCTCTGCTCCCCACACCTCCGTAGCCTCATCTTGCTTTAATATGTGAAGTTTCAGGAAAATGAACAGGCAGTTGTACACAATTACGGATTAATAGTTTTCCCCAGAATAGATTATTGGTATCATTTGAAAAACCAATTTTTATGACATGGGTCCCAAGATAGTTTCATAGATGATAAAAGAAGAGGAAGCTACACATATTAAAGGCCAAGCTGACTCTTCTCAACTAAAAATAAGTAGCTTTTGCATAAGGAAAGCGGAAGAAAAAATAGTATCTCCAGTCTTCCAGCTTCATGGTCTAGATATTAAGCATTGGCTTCCCCTCTCAACCTCGTTTTTACCCCTCGCTCCACCTGCGACGCGATGTGCATGGGGAAGGGCTGCTCTTCAGCAGCTCCTTCCTTCCTTTTAACTTGGATGCAGCCACCTCTGCCCAGGTCCTAACTCCACTTTTATCTTCCCGGGTGCAGCATCCTTGTCAGGTCTCCAGAAGCTTTCAGAATTCACTTTTGCCGCTACTCTTAGGCCTTCCCCATTCTAACCTTTCCCCAGTGGCCCCTCCTCAGGATCAGCTCTTATCATTTCTTTTAACAATTGGATCAGAAACCCCTCTCACAGAAACAAACAGCCGAGAGCCTGGCCTGGGCCAGAGCCCAGTTCCTTTCAGGCTAGGTGTCCCTACCTGCTCTCCAGCTGCTGGAAAAGACCTTTCTGTTTCTCAAAAGTCTGTTAAGTTCCTTGAGGTTAGTAGCTATGTCCTGTTGCATGCACCCTTAGAAATAATGAATGATTTAAATTTCTCACTTATTGCTATGAGTGGTCCTGCAAAAAGAAATGAAATTGCAGCATCTTATAATGGTTTTTCAGGTCCAGGAGAAGCAGTGTGGTTTCTCTGTTTACTCTCTGAGAGAGGACAGAGATATGTAGTTGTGGTGTGTGAAGGTGAGGTCAGTGATTATAGCTAGCAAGCAAAGTTCATCATCTTTTCAAGTCACTGGTATTTTTGAAAGGTAGAGTGCTGGTTTTGTTTTACACAGAAATTTTACCTCTAATTATTTTAATGTCATGTAAGTTCTGGAAGATGTTTCCTTAAATTCGTCTTTTTAGTGACGTTCTTAAGTCTTACCCAAAATGACTGCTTTGTCATTTCTTATATCATTTTTTCCTCTCTGATGCCAAAAACCACCCAGACTTTCCATGTTGGTGCGGTAAGCTAGAAATTTTTAGTTTGTAGTAATTGTTTTTTGTGTTTGTATGTTTTCGTGCTTATAGTCATTTTGTGATGTTTGTTTCTAAACGTTTTCCTTGGGGGGACTGACCTTCCACTGAAGCGTCATCTTCCCTGTTGTATGGCCCTCCTTGTAATGACTGGCTTTCCTTCTGCCGCAGGATCTGTCACTGTGAAGGGGATGATGAGAGCCCTCTGATCACACCCTGTCACTGCACAGGGAGCCTCCACTTTGTGCACCAGACCTGCCTGCAGCAGTGGATCAAGAGCTCCGACACACGCTGCTGTGAGCTGTGCAAGTACGAGTTCATCATGGAGACCAAGCTGAAGCCTCTGAGAAAAGTATGTGCGAGGCCACCCTCGGAAGTACTTTAGCCTCACTGAGATGAGCACCCAGAAGAGTTAGCACCTGGGACTGGGTGGAGCCACAGTTGGCTTGTGTTCACTCCTTTAAGAAGTTGGGGCTGGTGTGCACATTCATGTTTTTGGTACTGATTTCCAAGTCCCTCCTCTCAGGAAGAAGCTCTTTCTGTCCATTCAGTCATATGATGTTTTCTTTTTCCTTAAAACTAAGTCTGCCTGCTTGTCTGTATCAGTCATTTGGCCCTTGACCACAGACTGTTTTGTGACATCTTAGTCAGCATTAAACCTTGTATGTATTAACTCTTCAGGCTTTGCCTCTAATTAGGCCCATATAGTGGAGATTAGTCTCTCTCTCCAGCACAAAGAACAGCATGACATGGTAAATTTATTTCTATATACCTGTGACAAGTGTTTGCTAGATGGGAACTGGGGGCAGATGGGAAAAGAAAGGAACCACAGGCATTACATGCAACACAGCTCTCTTCAGTTCCCATGTCCTTGCTTCCTCTGAAAGGAGCCTCATCTGGTGCTCCCCTCCTGTGTAAACACTGGCCGTTCAATGTGTCTGTGTGCCCAGAATATGGAGAGGTTTTGTTTGGAAGAATAAAAGGTTTGTTCTTATCTCAAAACTCATAAATTGCAAGGGGAATTACATAATCAGGTAACAGAACCAACATGCCAATTCAATGCTAACTTCTATGGTGATCGCTCGTATCAGATATTCAGAGAAGGAGTGTTCACTGTGGGTCGGAGCTCTGGGGAGGCAGGGTGGTGGTAGCATCATAGGATGTTTGGTGTTGAAGCGGTTCTTGAAAGATCAGTAGGATTTAGGGGTGAAGTGAAAGGGCTCTAGAGAGGTCAGGTTGTCTCTGGAGAAAAGCATCCACCGGAAAGGCAGGGTGAGCATTTCAGGGGAGTGTGAAAGGCTTGAACTGAATGTGTCTTAGAAAATCAGGGGGACATTTTAGAAGGGAAGCCAGATGAAGATACTGTGTCACACCATAGCAGAAAGAAATCTGGATGCTAGGGAAGGCAGGTGCAAACTACTTAAAAAATGTTTTGTCCCATAAAAGCCTTATTGTTTTTTGGGTACCTACTCTATGCTGATTCTTCAAGTGAGTCTTATGGCACTTTGACCAATATAGATAGTCCATGAAGGCTCTACTTTCAGTTTATCCTGCATAGAGCCACCTGGAAAGGTTGTGAGTAGGGCTGGCAGAGGATATGCAGTGTTTACACTTGTTCTTTTTCTCTACCTCTATGTGTTTTCTTCTGATTCGGAAACGAGTAAATGAAAAAGAAAATCTGGCTATTTGGAGTAAATTAATGAGCTCCTAGAGGAGATGGGACTGGCATCCCAAGACTGCTTGTACCAGGAACTCTTAGCATCGATTTCACAGTGTTGCTGCCAATGTAGCAGAGGACCAAAGAGTGAGCGCCCTCCACCATCACCTTCACGACATAGTGTGACCCATCTGCTAGTGTGTTGTGGTGTCATCAACCCCTTTCTTCCCCTCACTCATGCCAGTCAGCAAGTCACGAAAACTTAAAGTGTGCCACCTGGGTCTTGGGCCAATGTGCTGTTTTCATCAGGACCAAAACCATAAAGTCTTGTATCAAAGCCACTGAATGCCTGCTTTGCCAGAATAAGCAGCCAGGGGATTGCTGGTGGTGGTTCATAGCTCATCTTGATCCCAGCTTCTCTTCATTGCCTAGAAAGTTGGATGTGGACAGAATACCAGTGCCTGGTACCTGGTTGACGCCACATGGTTTAAAGGGAGCGACTCTGAGTGTTTGGGGAAATTCATCTAGCTTGGGAAAGGGGGAGGGAGGAGGGAAGCCAGTCTTAACCATCAACAAAGCTCTCACCCCATCGTAGCACTTTACGCCCATGAGCCTGAGCCTCACGCTCTGTGCGTTGTCTTTCCAGTGGGAGAAGCTGCAGATGACAGCCAGCGAGCGCAGGAAGATCGTGTGCTCCGTGACGTTCCACATCATTGCCATCACCTGTGTGGTCTGGTCCTTGTACGTGCTCATCGACCGCACTGCTGAGGAGATCAAGCAGGGGCAGGCAACAGGTATGTGCTCAGAACGAAAAGTGCACCCAGGAGATCCTGGATGGCACAGTGGGTCTTAGGATTGGGGTGTTATTCCAGGTTGATTTTCAAGTCAGACCTCAAATGTCTGGGCTTCTGGAAGGAGGCATCAATCATGAGGCACTATGTATCCTTTTCGGATGTTTCTTTTGCTGTGGTGGTAGTTTTTAAAACCCAGTCAGGAGAGGTCAAATCATGGAGAGAGAGAATCTCCATGAATGCCCCCTGGAGGAGCAGGATAAAAGGGAGTGGACATGCTCTTCCACTCCTCCTCCAGCAAAGCAAGATTCGATGAGTTAAGAGCCCATGGTTATGGGAAGTTCAGAAATTGTGTTTTATTTACTTCACATCTTAAATAAGGTCGGCTGATAGGCTAACCGGGTTTTTTCCCTTCCAGGAATCCTAGAGTGGCCCTTTTGGACTAAATTGGTGGTTGTGGCCATCGGCTTTACTGGTGGACTTCTTTTTATGTACGTTCAGTGCAAAGTGTATGTACAATTATGGAAGAGACTCAAGGCTTATAACAGAGTAATCTATGTCCAAAACTGTCCAGAAACAAGCAAAAAGAATATTTTTGAAAAATCTGCACTAACAGAGCCCAACTTTGAAAATAAAGATGGACGTGGAATCTGTCATTCCGACACAAACTCTTCTTGTTGCACAGAACCTGAAGACACTGGAGCAGAAATCGTTCACATCTGACGATGTGGAGGGTGTGTAGTTCTCTTGGACATCTGCGAACAGCTGAAGGAAATTGTTTACTGCCAATTGTGTACATTTTCTTATGTCCTTTAATAGCATAGACCAGGCAGGTGACTATTTTTAATGGCTTCTCTTTTTCTAAACCCTCCTTAGTGACTCTCCTGGAAAACCCTCACGTCAGCTGTGCACGGCTGGGTTCTGTTTCCGCCAGCGTGTCTACAGGAAGGGAAGTTGGAAGAGCCCGTAACACCGTGATGGGGCGCTGGCTGGGTTCTGGCCTGTAGTCTTGAGCAGAATGAGAGAATAAGATGCCAAACCTGAGGTTAGAGCAGGAGCTGGTAGCGCCTGGGCCCTGATGCGCCTCTTCCAGTTGGCAGGTCCCCCCACCGACCCTCTGGAGTGGAGTGTTGGGAACATCTAGCCATGGGGAGAGGCTTCCCCCTCACCAGGCAGAGCGCGGGGAGGCCGCCACTGACAGTTCCCGAGCAGACGGGCCGTGGTGCTCTGTGCGTGGTGGTGAGTGATTCGCTAAGCAAAGCAAAGCACTTTACAAAAAGAGAATCTGTATTTTGTAATATGTGTGTCCCGTGGGATTGACATTTAAAAGGATGTCTCATTTAGAAACCTTCTCTTCATGACCCTGATTATCTCTTTCACATTATAATAGATCTGAAACCCTTTTTGCCTTATATATGCTAAGAAACGTGACATCTACTCTGGACACAAGTCCATAAAAGGGACTTGTGACTCTAAAGCAGGACAAACAGGTCTGAGGCTTTTTCGTAACACCTTACGGGAATTAATGTATGCTAAATGGCAATTCGAGCATAATTTCTGTGGTTTTGAGCCTGTTTTATGACAAGTCTTCATGTCATAGGGCTGCCCTGAATGTTTCTTTTTTTTTTGGTCAGCCCGGAAGAAGGGTTCATGAGATCTAAATGAAAAGAAGTGAGTAATTAGAACAAAACTGAATATTTAAAAACTACTCCTTTAAAGACAAACCTCTCCAGTCTGTGCTGGCTTCACACTGATGGAGTAGGCATTGCATCGCCCTGGTCTGGGGCGTGCACGCTGCAGGTGCTCCTGGGTGCCTGCCACTCAGCCAGCCCCTGCTCCTGGCACATTCTGTGGACCACTGCCCAGGGCAGAGAGGCAGACGGGCTGGCTCTGGGGTGAGGGCCAGGAGTGAGCAGCAAACTGCCCTGGTCCACTGTGTCCCTGCTCCCAGCCACTCCCCTGCCCATTTGTCGCCTTAACTGGACTGAACAGAGAGGATCCTTTAGGGGCCCCTGGCCCTGCTATCAGTCCATTCTGTCATCAGGGATTATCTCCTGTACCATTTTTCATAAAACAAAACCAAAATTACTACCATCAAATGGCCTTTGTCCTTTTAAAAAGGTCTGCTTAAAATTCTGTTTCTGAAGACCAGTTTCATCATGCCAGGCAAACAAGAGTCAACTCCAGGAAAATAGGCCAGGGGAGTCTGCAGTGTAAGTTAGGTATGCCCGGATACTTACTCTCCAGGAAGCTCCGCAGATGAGCATCTGGGGTGAGATGCCTGGGGGTCCTGCCCTCCATCCTCCGAGCCTTAGTTGCTTCATCCAGCTGTTAAGAGGAGGAAGCAAACAGAAGATGATTCCTTTCCATTCCAGAGTAGAAGCCCCATGGTTTGTTTTGAAAGCCAGGAGGAGGCTGAAGGATCTTTAAGCTCTGGAGGAGGGCTTTGCCCTGCCATGGCTTCTCTCGTCTGGCAGCTGCTGTCCAGTTGTAGTCCATCCCTGGAAATAGGTCAGCCGGCCCTCTCTGTCTCCCAGGGCACGTCCAGCCCGTGCCTGTGCTCACTGTGCCCCAAAGTGCAATTACCTACACCCCTTCTCAGCCTGGGGACACCAAGCAGCTACAGACTATCCACTCAGGAGAATCCCAGGTCAGCCCTGCCTGTGCCCCTTAGGAACTGCCTGGGCAAGGCCCCTTGTCCCTCTAACGGCGGCTGAGTGGTCAAGGGAAGACTGGGATAGATTTTTAAGTGAGAATCTTTCCCTTTCCCCCCGGTGGAACCCCTTATGCTGGACTTGAAAAGCACTGAGACTTTCTGTAGAGAGGAGAGTGTGCTTAGGTGGGGACAGCCCCAGGGCAGCCCACCCAGTGTGCCTGGCGCCCTCTGTGGCAGAGGTGCCTTGATAACCATGACTATTGTGTTGCTCCCATGCCCAACTAGACTGTCACGGGAAGCCCTGTCACTTCTTTTTAGGAAGGGCCTAAACACCATCTCATCACCTCCAGCCAAGCTCCTGAAAGCCTCTGCCTGTGGACAGTCAGCCCCACGTCCTTCTTTTCTCTCCTGGGGTGGCACTCAGCTACCCCGCTGCCTTTCTCTTTCCTCGCAGGTCCTGTTGAGCACCTCTGCCCCGCTACTGAGTCCCAGGGCTAATCTCTTCCCCGAAGGGACTAAGGGTGAGTGCAAAGCCCTGCCAAGGTTGGGCTGTGCTGCCACCTAGTGGGAGCTGTGGACCTGCCAGGCATTCCTTTAGTCTGTGTCAGCTTGCTCTCTAGGTTCTTTTGGGGGCTTAATTATTCCCCATTTCCTCATCATTTTGCACCTGGCTTTAGTGAGAAGATGACACTTGGATGAACTATATAGAAACGTTGAATGAGCTTGCAGGTCTCAGGGTCAGGGGGGCTGATATTTGTAGGCCAGGTGACGGGGAGAGGGAAGCAGCCTCAGGGGTGTCACCAGCCAGCCATCTCTGATTTGGCCTCTATTTCCCCTCAAATTATAGTTCAGCTGAAGGGCTTTTGTGCTTGGGTTTATTTTGAGATTTTCCTGAAAATTGTGAAAGACCTCTTCCTACCACAGGCCCCTAATGTCACTTCCTTTTTTGCTTCCATCCGCTCTTTTCAATCTTATGGGTCCAGTTTCAAAACCTGCGGGTGTGCCCTTCCTGGCTACAGACATACGGACCCCAGGCAGTTGGGCCCGTTCAAGAGCCTCAGCTAAGGCCTGCACGGGTCCGAGCTGCCCCTGCTGCCTGGTGGTCGGCTGCAGAGCTGGAGGAGGACTGGGCACGGCAGGGTGTAAAGATCCATGACAGTGTGGATTTGGCCTAATGCAAATACACATTTGAGATACTTTCCCTCTTGGATCTGATTTGAAATATGCAGCTTCCATCTCTAGTCCAAGGAAAGACTGAAACATAGGGAAGTAAAAGCATTTGTCTTTGTTTCGGAAGTAATTGTGCAACTCATCACCTATTTAGATGCAGTGTTTGTAGGAGGTTGATTGTTAATAAAGACCAAATTTACACTGGCATGTGTGGTGTAGTTTCTAAAAGGCACTTCACATTTGAACTTTTTCTTAACTTAGAGAATTTCGAGTTATCTAAATGTCTAGTTTTGTATCCCTTTGTGTATGTTCACTGTTCTTCAGCATTACTGCTTGAATAATTCTCTGTATTGCGTGGGGGTGGTTGTACTATACACGGGAGTATCTAATTGCAGCAATAAAGCTTTTCTTTAAAAAGGAGATTTTCCATGAAAGTGTTTTCCTGCAAGGAGGCTGGGAACATTGGCAAGCACTCCAGTGGTCTGGACCCCTTTCCGGGTTCCTCTGGCTTGCACATCAGGAAAGTAAATCATGCAGACTCGCATGCAGATTTGGTGTGTCCCTGTAAGGGAGGAAGGATCCCTCAGTCACTGGCAGTGGGTTCTGGAGGATGTGTGGGTATGGGAGTGAAAGCTGAAGTCGTTCTCATAGGTGTGCTTGTCTCAGACATCCAGGCTCAAACAACTTGGACTCACCACACTCAAGTTCTCTCAACTTGGGAGAAGCCAGACTCAAGTTCAGGGTGTGTATGGCAGCACGACCATTGGAATGGTACATTGCTTAACTAGCCTTATTTGCTGAAACATATACTGAAGCACAGCACAGCTGAGTGAGGGAACAGGGCAGGGCCGACAGGGCTACTGGCCATAGCTTGTTAGCCTGGCTGCATCTCCTGGCTCCTGGTGGGGCTTCCCTGAGTAATGACAGTGCCGTTGATCCTCCAGTCTCGGGACTGCAAACCACTCCCGGGTCTGTGAGTGCCGAGGACGGGCACCTGGCTTCACCTTTGTACACCAGGTGAAAGGAGGGAGGCCAAGGTTGCCCCAGCATACTGCCCTTGGTGAGCCGGGAGAGTCCGTCCACGAGTGCAGGGAGACTGGGGAGCTAAGAAGCAGGAGGGTGCTTTGCCAAGTGTCCTCCTTGCCTGACTTGGGAGAAGAGGTCCCCAGAACTGAGTGGAGCTGTTGAGGCTCCTAGAGGAAGAGGTGCATCTGCTCAGGTGTGGGCTCGCGGGAGGGGCAGAGGCCAGCGTGTGCCCCAGCCCTCCCCCGAGAGCTCCCTTGAGCTCAAGCGTCAGTTGGAGGGAGTGGCGAGGAGCATGGAGCTGAAAGAGGAACCTTCTGTAAGAATGTGAAGTGGGGACTGCCCATGAGGAGCCTCTACGCTTTGGGGACCCGATGAATTTGTGTTTGGCTGAAGAGACGCCCAACAAGGTCTTGTTGCCGGCGGGCTTGACACAGTGCCATCCCCAGGCCTCTCTGCCCTTTGACACCAGCCAAAAAATGACGGGTTGGGGCCGCTGATGGCACACTGCTAGGGGCGGTTTGAATCCTCTAGGTCAGGGGGTGGCCCACCACTGCTCGCAGACCAGCCTCCTGTTTCATAAATGTACTTGTAGGCGTACAGCCTTGCCCTTCATTGACACTGTATTCAGCTTATTTCCTGCTACAATGGCAGATCGTATGGCCTGCAAAGCCCACAATATTTACATGCCCCTTTACAGAAAAAGTTTGCCAATGCTTGGCCCGTGTGATCAGCGCCCCCTAGAGTTGTTGCTGCACAGCCCACGTGGTGTGAGAGGCGTAGATGACCCTCTCTAGGGCCTGTCTTTTCTCCCAGCCTCAGAAGTGCAACAGAGACCAGGAGTCCCGCTGCACGTCTCTGTTGTCGGGTCAGG